CGAGCAGGGGCTGCTTCTCCCTGGACCCAGCGGTGATACTACACCAGCAAGTGCAAGTCGACTCCTGGAGTTGTATCCTTTCGTAAGAGACCCTTGGCGGGGTCCATGGGAAAATGGCTAAAACTTCCATGGAAGGCTTTGGGGGTAGTGGTGCAGGTCTGACTAGGGAAAGGACGGGCAGGTAGGTGCGGAGCGGGCAGTCAGGCACAACAGTTGACACCCTGGCAGGACACGGAGACTCCCTGTCTGAGAGGGCTGAGGGATACAGAAGAAGACCAGAACCGCTGAGGAGGTGGGAGGTGCCTGGGCTCGGGTGGCAGGAGGGCTCATTGCCAGACAGGCCTAGGCAGGCAAAAAGAAGGTAAGCAGTGGACGGTGCCTTAACCTTATCTCCTCCCAGCTCTGTAACAGTGCCTTTCAGGTCTGCGGTGGAGGCAGACATGGCCCGCAGGTCCCTGGTCTCCAATGCCCGTCACCAGCAAGTGGTGCTTCCACAGGAGTACACTGTGAACGACAGTGTCCTGGCTGTGTGAGTTTTCCAAAAGTCTGGGGTGGGGGTGGCCTCAGGGCTGGGAGGTGGTGTGCACCGTGGGGGTTTCCTAATGGAGTCCCGGGTGGATTTTTCAAGATTGATTGATTGATTTATTTATTTATCTATTTACTTACTTATTTATTTATTTATTTATCTATTTATTTATTTATTTATTTATTTATTTATTTATTTATTTAGTGCATTGATGTTTTGCCTGTATGTATATCTGTGTGAGGGTCCCAGATCCTCTGGAACTGGAGTTACAGACAGTTGTGAGCTGCCATGTGGACACTGGGAATTGAACCCAGGTCCTCTGGAAAAGCAGCCAGTGCTCTTAACCACTGAGCCATCTCTCTAACTCCCCCCTCCCCCCGGGGTGGATTTAATGTAAGCAGGAAGGCATGGTATAGTGGACCTGAACAGATCCGTCATCACTGCCCTGATGGTGTCTCTCTCTCATTTAGTAGGTGGAATACTGAAGACCCTGTCCTCTTCCGAATTTCCATCAACACGTTCCTTGACCAGCTCTCCCTGGTGATGAGAAACATACAGCGCCAGGAGTTCGTGGCTGTTGTCAAACGAGAACGGAAAAGGAGTCGTAGATCCTAATATGTTACCAGATACAAGAAGTCAGAGCATTGAGTAACTGTTACTTTGACCATAGCGTCTCAATCTTGGTTGGATTGTTTTCCAATTACTGAAGGAATGAGGATTTGAATGTTATTGAATGAAATAAAAAAAATAGCAAAAATTTTCATCTGACTTTACTTTTAACTATAGCAGAAACCTCCAGGTGTCTGCTTCTCTGGAGAAGAAGTTGTGGAATTTAAATTTTTGAGTAGTCCAAAATAATTTAAGACAATTTAGGAAATGTACGAAAATTTAATTATTCAAGTCGGGTCATGTATCACATATTATTGACAGTGTTTTTGGAATGCAGGTGTTTCTATATGTTAGTGTTCATGTTGTGAGAGGTGTTTGCACATGCATGTGTTTGTGTGTATATCCATTTGTATGTTCTGCATGTGGAGGCCAGATATCAACTGAGTATGTCTGTTCTTGGGATCGGTATACCTTGTTTTGTTTTCTTTGAGATCGGGTATCTTAGTGATTAAAGTGTACCAGTTTGGCTAGACTCACTAAGTAGCAGGCTATAAGGATCTCCCTGTCTTCACCTCCCTAGCACTGCCATGGCAGTGTACTGCCACCCCCTGCAGCTTTTTATATTTGTATATGGAATTGAACACGTATCTTCATGCTTAAACAGCAAGAACTTAACCAAACTGGCTCATCTCCCTTAGGTCCCTTAAATTTTTAAAGTAAGAAAATTTGGGGCTGGATTTGTAGCTCAACAGTTGGGTGCTTACATAGCATGCTAGAGGTCCCAATTCTCAAGTAACATAAAAAATAAGAATGTTTTTAGCAATAACATTTTCTTCATATTTGTGTAAATAAAGCTATAATTTGTTGAGGTTATTATATCTTTTCCGAGTTTTTTTCTTTTAAAATACTATTTTTTTACGTTTTCTAAACGTAAAAAGGCACCATGGTGTTTAGTACTTTCCAGATTATTTTCCCTGTCATAATTAAGTCCGTGCATGAGTACTTATTTTCTTAAGCCATATTCTAAGAGGGATGCTCACTTGGTTAAGTATTTACCCATTCATTTTCTTAAGCTCCTGCATCTGTAGTATGCAAAATCTTTTCCTAAATATACCTTCCCATCAAAATAATGGTTACACAGCATCACCACCAGTGGATTATCTTCCTGCCTAAATTAAAGATGGACCTCGTGAGATTTTACGAAGAGAGAAATACCACAGAGGAAATTTTGTGGCTCCCGGACCTTTTAGATTAATGGAGAATAGCAGTGGGGTAATTGTGTTTGTGAAGTGGTGCCTAGATGAGTTCAAACAGCCTTCATGGAAGACTCTTGCTGCACTCGCTCACTAGTTGTTATGACTGTTTTGTAGGCCCCATCAGATTTTTTATATAGGTGAAAATCAAGGCAATTTTATTTCGTTCAGATCTGATACCATTGCTTTTTTTTTCTTTTTTTTTTTTTTTCTCCTTTCTTCACTTTGGGATGTTCCCAGTCCTAGCTATCTTGAAGCAGAAGTTCCTGGTTTCTTTGGAAACTCAGTTGTGCCATGTGAATATATTTTTTGGTTTGGTCCAAACCAAGATGTGAGATGTGGGAATGTATTTCCCCCTTGGATAACAATCCCAGAAAACAGCCCCAGTGAAAAGGTGCATGATGTTTGTCAGTTGGAAAGTATCTCATGCGAGTGGCATGAGTTGCCACTTGGAAAACATCCTCATGTGGGCTCTGAGAAGGGATAAATAGAAGACCACAGACAATGAGACAATGCTTTCTGCATCTCTATGCTTTGAAATGGTTCGGATCTCTTTCCTGGTTTTCACAGAGACAAACGCTCCAGAGAGCTTTACATGCTGCTTTTCCCCTTTGGTGGACTCATGCCATCTGGGCAGAGCCTGGCTGCTTTTGCTGAGTGGTACCACCTCTGTTGCTGTTGCTTGCTGTTTGCTGCCGCTGCCGCCGCCACTGCTACTCCTATGGTTTGCTGCTTTGCTGTTTGATTGTACTGCTGTCAATGTGTCTGGCTACTCTTCTGCCAGTGAGTGTCTATGTGGCTGTCATCCCAACACTAATTCTTTCCCTGGTCCTGGGTTACATGCCTTTCCCCATCACACTCATTCTTTTCCAGGTATACTTCCTCTGTTTGTTTACATCTGAAGGCAAGATTCTTTCGATACAATTTCCTTACTGAGAATTCTCCTGCCCTGACTTGAAATTCCTTCTTCAGTCATCTTGCAGACTTGGAGGGCAGGGGAAATTGCTATCGTGGGATGGGAGATTCAAAATGTACTGTGAAGAGATACAGATTTTGAAGATATTGGGGGGTGGGGGGAGATGAAGTGCCTAGGGTTGTTGAGCAGAGCAAACACACAGCCATACTGTTCAACAGCTTCTCTCCATCTCCCTGGCTGAAGATAAACTGAATTAAGACAGAGAGATGGTAAATAATATTGGAAACATCATATGGAGATGCAGGAGAAGCTAAGATTCATAGAGATCCAGTGTTCTGCGGTCTCTCCTGACACTGGGGCACCAGGGTAGGATGGTGGGATCATTTTTGATGATCGTTGGAGACTTGGTCTGTCACTCTCCTTCTCCTGCAGGACCTCAAAGCAAAGGCACTAGTAGAGAAAGCCCAGCTGTGCTGGAAGCATTTGTCCTGCTTGTCTCAGCATAACAGCAGTCTGGGGTTCACCCCAGGGCTAGCCACTTCCCTGGCTCTCATAATTGAGAAACTCCCCCTTCTCACCTGCTGAAGACACTACAATTATGATCTGCTGAAGCTTCTGTCACATTTTGTGCTTCTGAAAAGAGGCAAGTTCAAAAGCAACTTGGAGAAGAAAGGGTTTATTTCAGCTCAAGCCTGTAGTCCATCATTTAGGGAAGTCATCACAGGAAGCAGGCAACAGGAACTGAAGCAAAAGCTTTGGAGGAATGCTGCTTACTGGCTTTTTCTTCCTGACTTGCTCGTACTGTTTTCTTATAACACCCAGGACCACATGCGCGGGGATCACACTGCTCACAGTTAGCTGGGTCCTCCTACATCAACAATCATCGTCGTCATCATCATCATCATCAATAATAGTAATATAATAATAATAATAATAATAATAATAATAATAATAATAATAATAAT